TTTTGATAGAGGCATGCTAGAGCGATGAAAACGCCTTAGATGTGTTCAGCTCGACGATACGGATCGACTGATATGCAACATGACCCTTTCCGGTCAGGTCATGACCTTGACCTGAGGTCAAATTTTCAAGTTGACCTTTCAAGGTCAACTTACAGTTCATTCGATGCGTCTTGACGAGAGGAACACAATGCCGGTAAAAGTAAGCTCGTACAATGCTTGGGTCAAAAGTTATTGCAGAAAAACTGTTTCCGAAAAAATCGGCTATTTTTGCAGTTTTTGCCCCCTGCAGGCAAAACCGTTGACGTTAGGTCAAAGCTGAGAGAATTACTCAGAAAGGGCTTTAATAGGGCTATCGAATGCGCTTTTCCGCGGCGCTGTAGCTCTATTGGTTCTCTAGTTATGCGTCGGCTTCTTGGAAATTTTCGACATTCAACCTGGAAATCGGCGAAATTTTGCCTTCAATGACCTCTGGTGACCTGACCTTTGACCTGACCAAAAAATTGACCGAAGTGATTTCGTCATTATTTTTTACGTTCTTTCGAACGCCGCCTTCCGTGTATCGCTACGTGGCCCAGGAGCCGAGTTACAAGGGGGGTGTTCAAACACCCCCCCCCCCCCAGCAGGGCGTGGAAATCCAGGACCCCCAGCCGGGCGCGGGTTAACGTAACATAAGTAAGTCACAGTAATTGAAATAGGCCGGTGGCAATATTATCACACGAATGCAGCACGAACACGGATACGGCCGATTAGACGGCCGGCAGCCGCCGCCAATATTATTCAAGATAAGGCTGGGGCTGCTGTCGCGTGGCTGTCAGCTGTTGTGCCAGGCGGTCGTGCTGACATGCCGGTGGGCGGTAACGGTATTCCAGGATTCCATTATTTACCTAAATGCTTTGCTTTTAAAGGGGTTTAAATAATAGACGATTCCCGGCTTGTCTCGTGAGGTTGTTATCATAATCAGGAGACGTTTTAACTAATCTTGTCGAGACCGTAGCATTTGAATGAAACAAATTCGGACGATCGTTCCCTAGTAGCACACAACATTGACGTCTAAGGTGTATTTAGTGGAGTGCCCTTCATGGTCACATCTCGGTTGCCCTTATAATCCTCGCGAAAACATACCTTTACTGAAGAATAATCGGAAAACGGTACAGAAAGAACGAGGAGCCTGTTTCCGAATATTCTCACGGAAACATTCCTTAGCCGAAGAATAGTCGGAAAACGGTACAGAAAGGGCGAGGAACCTGTTTCCGAATATTCTCACGGAAACATACCTTTACCCAAGAGTAGTCGGAAAACGGTACAGAAAGGGCGAGGAACCTGTTTCCGAATATTCTTGGGTGTAAAATATTATTAGGTTTAGTTCTATTTTGGTGACACTCACTGACTTGCACAGCGGGGCAGAGTGTTTTTTTTCTTATGCGGCGCCAGTGAATGCGCGGCAGACCAAGACGCGGCTCCCGCCGCCTCCATCCCCTTCGCTACCCACGCCGCGCGTGCCCTCGGGCACTTACCGAAGGGAAGGCAATCAGCTGTTAGTTTCCATTCCGGATGGCCGTTCACGGGCACCGCACACTGCTGCGTGCGGTGTGTGCGGTGAGTCCAGCAGGCGTGGGGGTAGGGGATGGGTAGGCGGTTCTGACGTCACGGCTGCGTGCGGTGGACGGCTTCCTGTGGCCGGTCCCGACCGGCCACAGCGGTCGCTGTGTGCGGTGACGGAAGGGACGCAGTGGGCGGAGCTTGGAGGCTGTGTGCGGTCCGACCGCACACAGGGCCCGTGAACAGCCCTCAGAAGTTCTCCTTCATCCATGTAAACATGTTATCGTCAGTGAAGCGGGACCGCCGCCGACCTGCCTCCAGGCGCCCCCGGAGGGGTGGGTGTGACGTCACAGCAGGGACAGCAGTTGTATGTACACAGCACAACGGACTTTGGCCAGTTAGCGTCCCCTTTACAGCAGTCAGCAGGACGGACATTGAAGAGAACGCTAACTGGTCGGGGACGGCGCTGAAGACCGGTCAGCCATCTCTACAGCGCTGCCAAGGCCTTGGTTTCTTGATAATTTTTTGTATCATATTTCAAAAGTTGAACTACATATAGGAAATGCCGGGTGTGCTTCTGGATGGGAGCATATCGACACCTATTTTTTAAACCCCACATCTGCTCTCCCGTGAATTTCCGGGAGGCACGAAAGATCTCCTTTTAAAAGTGTCCAATCGTCCGATCCTGATCAAATGTGTGTGTTCGTAGGCCTGAGGCCAGTTTTACCAACAGAAAAATAGCAGCCCGGCGCAATTTTTCTGTCAAAAACCAGCCGACGAGTTTCACCAACCAGGCGAAAAAATATCCGCCGGCGTGAAAAAAATATCAGCCAGAAAAATAGCCAACGAGTTTCACCAACGGCAAATGCGGCATTAATGGAGTGTTTATCTGCGCCATTATATGTAGAAAAACAGCCCCAAAAAATAGACAGGCGACCCCGTCTATTTTCTTTTTTATGTCGCGTTGGAATAATTGGCCTCATTTGTTACTAACTATCGTGATTTGCGCTTCTCAGTCATATAATAATTTAGTATCATTCATGGCCAATTTGTAAAGCATCTGGGCCTCAAGATTAGAAGAGGAATACTGATGATATTGCATAAAGAAAGAGCTTTTGTCACCAGGCACATGGGTGGAGAATGTTTGAAAAAGTTACCCCGGCCGGCGACCGATAGTCGCGGGAAGACGATATACTCACGTTGTTCTCAACGGTCATCATCAAACCCCTATTCTGACGCATGGAATAGGATGCTGTGTTTGCTCAAGGATGAGCGTTGTATCCGACACCGTATTATTCAGAACATTTTTGGAATGATCGAAAAGGCAATTTCCTTTTAAATTATTATTTCTTTTTGCTTAAACTTGCAATTTCACACCGAACCCAAACCAAACCATATGCCATTTTGAGTACCTACCTAAATGTTGCGTTTTCAGCTTTTTATTGTGTCTCAAAATAGCTACAAAAAGACAACTCACCATAGTAGAAGCTTTACAGAGAAATTGACAGATCGAACCAAGCAAAGCACTAAAATAGGTCACTGACATCCACGGGCGTAGCCTTTTTCAATGTTGGGCGGCTCTTATAATACAAACAGGGAGTCGATCCAGGAATATCGACCGGTCCCGGTCTCGTAGCTCAGTTGCTAGAGCGTTGGATTCCGCGTGGCGAGAGCACGCGGCCCGGTTACAACAGTCCGAGTTCGAAGCATGATGGCCGCTCGGTGTTTATGAGCACCCTGACGGGTACGCTCATAAACGGGTGTGGTTGCGGTTGGTGGCAGGTCAGTTGTTAAGGCAATGAGGTCAAGCAGTAGTTTTGAAAAAGTGCGCCGAAGGCGCGCCAAAATTTCGAAACTGAACAGGATTTGAGAGCAATCTTGGCATTGGCGACCACACGCGGGTCTTAGGGTTGGAGATTATGGCAAGTTAAGTAACTGGTAAATACCTACCTGATTTGCAATATTACGCCCATGGAAGTCAACATTCGAAGAGCGTGAGTTTTCTTTTCTCGTATGGAGACAGCTTTTAGGATTTACAAGAGTAGAAAAGTTACCCCGGCCGCGCCGGGGTAGGCTGAAAGTTACCCCGGCCACGGCCGGGGTGGCCGGGGCAGGTTCTCCACCCATGACCAGGCATGACCAAAAGAAACCAACAAGACGGGTGTTTGGTGTTGTGGTGTTAGTTTTTTTCTTTTAATATTATCTTTTTGCTACAAGCACCCAACAGCAAGATGATAGCGCATTAACTAGTGGTCAGCTTACAAGTTCATTGCTCGCACGGAAGTGGAAAATAATGATGGAAGGTCATTTTCGAAAATTGAAGGTGCTTGAAGAAATTGAAATGCTGGAAGGAGAGGCAGAGAGGTTAGGCTCATTGGACTCAAGATTTTAAATAAATATGTCACTGTTTTCACATATTCAGCTACATTTGACATGGCAAGGCGCCAGCTACTGATACCACTACTACTTTTGGGTGGAACTTACTTGAGATGTGCGGAATAGGGAAGGTGCATTGACATTGCTAAGACCGAAATGGCAAGATTTTCAAGATAAATGACAATAAATTTTTGAAAAAAAAAATTGAATAGCATGAAAGAAATGTATAAAGGCTTGTTTTTGAAGCAAAACGTGCAAAGCTTGCATGGTTGCGAACCCGAACAAACTTGCTGTCATAAGATTGTGCCACTGAACTCAGCAAGTCATGCTGCCAATATTGAAGGAAAAGAAAATTATAGTAATGTTGTAGAATGTAAATGAATCCATAACTGTTGTGTGTGCACTGTGCTGATATTGAATGCATGTGTATCTTGCATGCTTGAGTCATGCAGGGATCATGTTAAAACTGGCTGTAAGTATTGTGAGTTAGTTTTGGAACATTGTGGAGGCACCAGGCAAATTGCGGCCAAAATGTTACTTGTTCACCTCAGCGCTGAAATTTCTGCACACAGAGTTTTCAGATCATGCGCCGAAATGTTCATGCAGCCCGTCCGTTACACTGGTCATGTTGACAGTGACAAGGATTTTTTCCCAGTCTCATGTTGAAATACAATAATAATTCACTTAGCTTGATTTAGCTTATGTTTTTCATGCCAGTTCCTAGAATAAAGCAACAAATATTTTCTGTCATGTGAGAAATATAATGACAATATGCACAATTGCAGGCTGTGGCATGTTGTGAGGTTTTTCCTTGTTTATTGCTGAGGTTTTTCCAGTCTCTGCTGCAAAAACGGTGGTGAATCCACCGTCGTCCGACGGTTTCGATGACGCTAATCATCGGCGAGTGTTGCTGTGATGGCCGACTGAGCGCACAGCGGCAGCCGCCGTCGCCAATAACGACAGTGAGGACACCTCCGAGTCGGACGGAGACCAGGAGACCACCCGACCAGGTCAAGTCCTACCGCCCCATCAGTCTGCTGAGCTCGACGTCGAAGCTGCTGGAACGCCTCATCAACCGCCGCCTGATGTATCTGCTGGAACAACGCCAACTCCTGAACCCCAACCAGGCCGGTTTCCGGAAACACAGGTCGACGGAGGACCAGATTCTGAGGCTGGTACAGGCGACGGCGGATGGCCTTGAAGAAAGGAAGCGGACCCTGCTGGTGACGGTGGACTTTTCCACAGCCTATGACAAGGCATGGCGCACGGGCCTCCTCTGGAAGATGTCCCGCCTCGGGCTCCCCCGTTGCTACGTAGCATGGTTCCGGGCTTTCCTCCGGGACCGTCAAGCATGCGTGAGAATAAACAACACAAGGAGCAAGTTCCGGGTCCTCCGCGACGGCACCCCCCAGGGCGCGGTGACATCCCCGGCGCTATTCAACCTATTCATCAACGACATCACCGACGACTTCCCACCGGGCGTGTCGGCGTCGCTGTACGCCGACGACCTAGCCATCTGGTGCAGCGACCGTGACGTCTCTGCCGCCGAGACCAAGGTGCAGCGTGCCCTGGACAGCCTGGAGGAGTGGGCCCGACGCTGGAAAATGGTGGTCAGCCTGGAGAAGACTACCTCCACTATCTTCACGCTCGACCCAGCTGAGGCACGGCGAGAAGCGGCGCTCCATTTCCAGGGCCAACCAGTGAAGTTCTCCCCCACCACGACGTTCCTGGGCATCACCCTCGATAGGAGCCTCACCTTCACGGGACATGTGAAGACGATCAAGGCCAAGATGCTCCAAAGGAACAACGTCCTTCGGGCCATCAGCGGCACGACGTGGGGCTGCTCACCGTCTGATCTGCGCAGCACATACCTCGCCTTCTCTCGCGCCTGCGCCGACTACGCCGCCGGTGCTTGGATGCCCGGCCTCAGCGAGTCTGGCCTGAGGGAGCTGGAAACGGTGCAAAGACAGGCGTGCAGGACAATCACCGGCTGTGTCAGATCCACACCAGTGGACGCCCCGGCCAGAGAGGCGGATCTCCTGCCTTTCTCGGCGCGGCGGAGGCAGTTGGCGGCAGTGGCGATGGAGCGCCACTCCCGGGACCTACCAGGCGACCCTGTGCAGCGGATCCTCCTCCCTGAGAACCGCCCCCGGCAACGTCTGCGCTATGACAGAGGATGGGCACGGACGGGCCAAGAGATATCCAAAGACGCCGGCCTAGACGACTTCCCACGCGAACCGTTCCTGGTGGTTGCCAGCACCCCTCCCTGGGAGTCACCGCCACCTCCAACGGTCTTCTTCCACACTGGACTTGTGAGGCCGCTACCGCAAAACGCCCCCGCCGAACAGCGACGGACTGCCGCCGAGGAGACGCTAGCCGGACTGCCGAACCCGGACGTCCAGGCTTTCACGGACGGCTCGGCCACAGCCGGCACAGAACGAGGCGGAGCAGGGGCAGTCGTCTATAGGAGCGGCAGGGAAGTGAAGAGGATCCGAGCGCCAGCGGGGCGCTTCACGTCGAGCTACACAGCGGAGCTTATCGCTCTACGAGAGACACTCAAATACATCGAGTCCATCCTCACCGATCAAGACCCTGCACTCAATATCCAGCTGTGCACCGACTCCCTATCATCCCTTATGCGTCTGAGGGAAGGCCCGGCCAACCAGACTGAACGGGTCGCTGACCAAGTCTGGCTATCCCTCCGGCGACTAGGACGACGCCACCGCGTGGACCTTCAGTGGGTTCCCGGTCACGCGGGAGTCGCCGGCAACGAGATCGCCGATGCCGTGGCCAGGGAGGCCGCTGAGCTGCTGCAGGACGGGACACCCATCACCTTCGCGGCGGCCAAGAGCCTGCTGAAGCGCCACGTAAGCAGAGAGTGGGTGGAGAGCACGCGCCACTCCCGACCGGCGCCCGCGACCCGCCCGCACCTAAGCCACGACTACCACGATGTCGTCGGCCCGGGCAGGGTCAGGCTGGCAGACAGGCTCGGCCTGTCTAGGAGAGAGGGCACCGCTCTGGCGCGCCTCCGGACCGGCCACTCTCCTGCCCTGCAAGCTTACCGTCACTTCATCGGGGCGGAGGAGGACGATGGGTGCCCGACCTGCGACGGCGGAGTCAGGGAGGACGCGGAACACTTACTGACGTCGTGCCCCGCGACGGCCCGCGTCCGTCACGACGTTTTCGGGAGAGAGGACCCGACGCTGCGGGAGGTCTTCGCTGACCCATGCCGGGTCATCGAGTTCCTGCGGCGCCTGGGCCGACTATAGAGCGCCCACGGCGCTGGACACACTCTGGCGGGGTGCTGGGTTCCCCGGCCCTACCCGGCGTCTGAGTCCGCCGGAACCCGCCCGGGGGCCTGCTGCCCTCCCTGCGCGGACGTCGCAAGTGTCGCCCCCGAGGGGGGCTGGGGCCCTCCCGGGCCCCCATGTGGGCCCACCGGGCCCGACGGCCGGAACGACAACAACAACAAGTCGGACGGAGACGCCGCCGCTGACGATTTCACCGTGCTGGACGAGGTGGAGCGCTCGAGCCGACAGGCCGTGCACCGCGTGCGCTGCCCGACTGGCTGGCGCACCCGCAGCCGATTGGCGACCGGCGGCCGGCGCCGGCCAATCTGCCGGCGCTCTGCCCCGAGATGCGCGCCCGGATGGCCGCCGAGGGCATCGAACAGGTGTTCCTGGTGCATGTGACCGTGCTGCCCGAGCTGCTGGCGGCCGCAGAGTCGCCGCTGCCACCGGCCGACCTCTGCATCTCGGCGCCGGCCAGCCGCGGTACGACGCTGGCGTTTGTGCTGCCGCTAGTGCAGGCGCGGTGCCGGCCGCCGGGTGCGCGCGCTAGCTGTGCTACCCACACAGGCGCTGCCCGCTCAGGTGCCCGCCGTGTTCCGCCAGTACGACGCCGACACGCCGCTCTGCGTCCGGCTGCTTGGTGGAGACACAGTGGCACGAGGGGGCGCCAACTGGTGGCGGTGGGGCCGCGCGGCCCGGTCTCCCTGGCTGATCGTGGTGAGCACTCCCGGCTGGCTGATGGATCACATAACCAGCGCCGAGGGCTTCTCGCTAGCGCACCTGCGCTACCTGGTGATCGACGAAGCCGACCGGGTGATCGAGATGGCCGAGACGGGCTGGCTGAAAGCGGTGGAGCGGGTGGCGGCGGCCACGGCCCGCCGCCCTGCATCGCCGGCCGGCTGACGGCCGCCGCCGTCTGCGCGCCTCACCTGCCGCTGCAGAAGCTGCCGTTCTTGGCCACCCTGTCACAGAACCCGGAGGCCGGAGAAGCTGGAGCGAATGTCGCTGTTCCAGCCGCGACTGCTGGCGGCCGCCGCCGTCGCACTGCCCCGTCAGTTCGTCGGCAGGTTCACCACGCCGGCCGAGCTGAGCGAGTCGTTCAACGTGGTGGTGCCGCAGCCGCTGAAGCCGCTGCTGATGCACCATTTGCTCCGACAGCCCGACTGGCGACGCTCGCTCGTGTTGGTCAACTGGAACGAGGCGGCGCACCAGCTGGAGCTACCGCTGTCGGTGCTGGGCGCGCGCGTGACTGAGTTCTGTGGGGTAGTGCCGGCGGGCCTGCGGCGGCGCGCGTTAGCTGAGATGGCCGCGCTGGTGTGCTCGAGGCTATGGCGCGCGGTATTGACGTGGACGCCGTGGACGCGGTCGTGTCGTACGACATCCCGGCGCTGTTGAAGACGTACACTGCGTGTGTCGGACGGCGTGCATCAGCTGGGCCGGCCAGGCGGTCAAGCTAATGTTGGAGCGGCAGCGCAGCCATTTCCAGCGGCTGATGGTGCAGGCGGGCGGCCGGGTGCGGGAGACGCCGGCGCTGCTGGACGAGCTACGAGCTGCGCCAGTACGAGGCGACCTACGTCAGTGGATTTCCACACTAGCTTCTAGGTGGATCGCTGTTGTTTTTTATGCTCATTGCTCATGATTTATTTACATTTTAGAAATATTGCAATGAATAGGTTTATGGCTTGTCATCAGCCTAGAAAAGCTAAAGTAAGTAAAGCGTTTTAATGCATAATGTATATTTGTTCATGAGCACGGATTTAACATGTCCTAACTCCCAAACATTTCGATATTAGACCCGAGTTACAAACCAATCGAAAAGCTTAGACGATCATTTGGGGCGTAGCCAGACGGCTCGGCTGGGTGTGAAAGCCGGCGACCAAGGTGGTCACCACTCGATCATAATGCAGAGCGGTCTCCGTCGGACGATTGTGTCCGCGCGCAACGAATGATCTCGGCACACGCGGAGGAGTTCGGCAGGACTCTCCACTGAGCGGTACTGGGCGCAGTCGAACGACGGTCGACGACGCTAGCGCAGGTACTGTTAATTTGTTACGACTTACGAGCCGGACCAGTGTAGCGGGCCCGGAGCGAATATTCTCTGCTGTGTGACGTTCCTTCTTCTCGACCGGGCCCGGCAAACGGGGCCTGCATATCGGCTAAAACCACCTAACCGGGCAGTCTGACCCCCACCTTGCCGAAGCAGAGCGAGCGACCACCCTCAGCCCTGCGATGACCGCGGTGCAGTTAATCTGGGTAGGTATTTTCCTAAGGTAAGACACTCGCCTTGGCACAATGCTTTATATAGGCCTTGGCGAGTTCGTTAGCCCTCTTACTCCCGCTAGAAGGTGCTAATGCAGTGCACGCGGAGCCGCCTCGTAGCACCGCAGTTCAATCGCTCGGCAGCGAAACTGCCCGTCGTCCGTCCAGCTTCAGGTGGCGCCTCTGGGAGCAATGTTGGCCGCTTGTTTGCCGCTCTTTTGAAAGCTAAGAAAGAGGTGCGGCTCCCGGATCTTTCGGGAGCGGGACTCATAGGCGGCGGAACGGGTAGGGCACCGTGGCACCGTGCCCCCTTTGGTTTTGACATTTTAACATTAGCCCTATGGGCGTTGCATGGAAAGAATGGGACCAAAAGTCGGCAGTGCCCCCTTAATTGAAGGTGTTTCGCTGCCACTGGAGTGGGTCCCATCTTGTCCCCACCTCATAGCTGGAGGTCCACACACAGAGGCGGATCCAGCTCAGAGTTTTTTTTTTGGGGGGGGGGGGGCAAACCATAACAATTTATCGATTCTTTCCATGCATCGTCCATAGGCGTAATGTTAAAATTACGCCGTTTGGGGGGGGGGGGCAAATGCCCATTTTGCCCCCCCCCCCTGGATCCGCCACTGTCCACACATTGCGTTCTCGGTCTACACGATGATTTTCTACAAGGTGCGACTAAAAACAGACAAAAAGGTACATAGCAAGTTGAAGGTATTGTAAAAATTAATATAACTAATAGGCTGGCAGGAAAAAAGATCCATCTTAAATTTGCCTTAAATGCAAGCTTCCTTACGTCACCTTTATGAATGACGTACCTTCGTTTACAATTTGGTAGTTTTGTATTGTATTGGCTTTTGCTGGGTACCAGAATTCTAATATAGATATGAAAGTTGATAATGCTCTACTTTGTTGTTATTACTCTTGAAAATAATGTAATAATTTACGATAATAATATTTCGAAATGTATATAGCATTTGCATTAGAAATCACGCTTCAATTTGATTGAAAACATGTTTTAAATGATTTATTAACCTCCTTGATATATCGTAATTTGATATCGTAACAGAATATCAGCTGACTACCGGCGACAAATAATGGCTCTCTCTATCGTCTGGACGTTTTGAAAGATGCTCTCCAGAGATGGCGCTAGTAAGTTTGGCTGCCATGACGTCATGCTTAAAAGTGATGGGTTTTGTGAGAGCAAATGTAATAATAGTTGAAAATTTAGAGACATGTTAGTGTGGAGAGCAAATAGATATTATAGGATTAAATTGGACTTACTCCACAAGAGAATCGTTTTCGGTCGGAGCTTTCGACATGTATTACATGTCCTCTTCAGCGAAGGTCGGTAATCGGGGCGAAAATAAAACGTTCGGGTCGAATCGAATCGCACAAGATGTCGGTGAGCTGCGCAGAGTTATTTCAGGCCGCTTGAATTATAAAATAAGCAAGCCTGAAACACGTGACGACAATAAGAGTACACTCAATGAGAAAGTCTACCAAAAAACACGAACGCATACTACACTAATAAAATCCTAAAAAATATAGAAATCAATACATACTATCTCGGTACAGAAATATAAAACATTATACATACCTATAAATACCACAAAACTTAAAAACTACAAAGATGCTAAAGCAGGTGGGGTACAAAAGTGTAAAGAGATCAATATAAAAAACACTATCACACGATATAAATGTTTAACACACTATAAAACTACTGGCAAACACGACGAATTATTGGCAGCCAGCGGTCTTGCAGCAGCGCACCTGAGTTTCTGTTCACATTCGCATCATTAGGCGACACCAAGACGGCCTCCCGCCGTCCCACAGTCCGGATGTACGCCGACTCGAGCAGCAGCCGCATCTGGTAGTGGCTGGCTCGATTTAGTACCTTGACCTCATCGAAGGCAGGTGAACAATCCCTGTGAGCACTGAAGGCCGATGCGTTGGCTCTCGAGCGAACAGCTCCAGTCCAGCTCTCCCGGTGTTCTCTGACTCTGGTTCCCAGCTCACGGTCTGTCTCGCCGATGTAGACCACAGGATCACCGTCAACTTGGCAGGAGCACTCGATCTTGTAGACCACGTTGCTCTCCTGCAGCTTCGGCAAGTGGTGCTTGGCTTTACTGCAGAGCAATGATCCGATGGTCAGCGACGGTTTGGAGACCAGCTGGATGCCGATCTTGCTGGCTTCCCGCTTGAGCTGGTAAAAACACAGTCGGCGTACATCCGGACTGTGGGACGGCGGGAGGCCGTCTTGGTGTCGCCTAATGATGCGAATGTGAACAGAAACTCAGGTGCGCTGCTGCAAGACCGCTGGCTGCCAATAATTCGTCGTGTTTGCCAGTAGTTTTATAGTGTGTTAAACATTTATATCGTGTGATAGTGTTTTTTATATTGATCTCTTTACACTTTTGTACCCCACCTGCTTTAGCATCTTTGTAGTTTTTAACTTTTGTGGTATTTATAGGTATGTATAACGTTTTATATTTCTGTACCGAGATAGTATGTATTGATTTCTATATTTTTTAGGATTTTATTAGTGTAGTATGCGTTCGTGTTTTTTTGGTAGACTTTCTCATTGAGTGTACTCTTATTGTCGTCACGTGTTTCAGGCTTGCTTATTTTATAATTCAAGCGGCCTGAAATAACTCTGCGCAGCTCACCGACATCTTGTGCGATTCGATTCGACCCGAACGTTTTATTTTCGCCCCGATTACCGACCTTCGCTGAAGAGGACATGTAATACATGTCGAAAGCTCCGACCGAAAACGATTCTCTTGTGGAGTAAGTCCAATTTAATCCTATAATATCTAGTTGAAAATTTGGTACCTTTGCTTAATTCAGAAAAAGCAATATACAATTATTCAATGAAACGTTTTCCTCATTCATCCTTCATTGTTTTAAGAAGAATATAGACAGTTTTAATATTTTTTCTTGAGCTCAATTCGCACACGCACTAAATTAAAAGCTGGAGTTTTGTGCGTTAGTAAATTGTGATTTTAGCAGGGGCGGATCCAGGAAAACTCCAAGGGGAGGGTCATGAATCGAAGTGGTGCCCCTACCTATACCCAAAATTAAAAACTCAACGGATTTCGTCCACTTCATTTTGGTGGTGCCCCCATTTTCAGTTTTTTTCTTTCTTTTTATTTTTTTATTTTTAGTCAGTATCTTAACTCTTAGCCACAACCACATTTACCAATTGTAAGCAAGTATATATGAATGTGCTATGTGTGTATATGTTGTGGACGCTGAGTAGTGAGTACTTACCAAGAACGTTATCAGGTAAGCGAATCGTTGTCAGTCCGACGAACTTGACCCTGGCGTCTAAAGGGTCTGTCCTTGACACTTCAGGCTTGTCAGGGGCACCAAAGTCCTTCCAGGGACACCACAAACCTGTCAGGGGCACCTACGGCCTTGTAGGGGCGCCACAGGTCCGCCAGGGGTACCACAGGCCTGCCAGGAAGCAGGGGCACCACAGGTCTAGCAAGTATACACGACAGGCCTGTCAGGGGCACAACGGGCCTGTTGGGCCCATGAGCACCCCTAGGGGCAGGGGCACCACAGTCCTTCCAGGGGCACCGCAGGCCTGTGAGGGGCACCAGCGGCCTAGCAGGGGCACCAGTCAACACAGGCCTGCCAGGGGCACCACAGACCTGCCAGGAGCACCACCGACCTCGCAGGGGTAACTTGGGCCTGTCAGGGGCACCACAGGCCTGTCGAGAGGCACTTCAGGCTTTTCAGGGGCACCATAGTCCTCTCCGGGCGCAGGGGTAGCAGGGGCACCAGAGGCCTGCCAAGGGCACCACAGGCCTAGCAAGGGCACCACGGGCCTGTCATGGGCACCTCAGGCCTGTCATGGCCCAGGGACACCACAGTCCTTCCAGGGGCACAACAAGCCTGTCAGGGGCACTACGGGCCTAGCAAGGGCACCACTGGTCTATCAGGGGCACCACGAGCCTGTCATAGCCAGGCATCTCAGGCTTGTCAAGGCCCAGGGGCACCACAGGTCTGTGAGGGGCACCAGCGACCTAGCAGGGGCACCAGTTAACACAGGTCTGCCAGGGGCGCCACAGACCTGCCAGGGGCACCACAGACCTGCCAGGGGCACCAGAGGTCTGCCAGGGGCACCACCGGCCTCGCAGGGGCACCTTGGGCCTGTCAGGGGCACCACAGGCCTGCCAGGGGCACCACAGGCCTAGCAAGGCACCACTGGCCTGTCATGACCGGGCATCTCAGGCTTGTCAGGGCCCAGGGGCACCACAGTCCTTCCAGGGGCATTACAAGCCTGTCAGGGGCACCAGAGGCCTAGCAAGGGCACCACAGGCCTGCCATGGACACCACAGGCCTGTCAGGGGCACCACCGGTCTTGCAGGGGCGCCTCAGGCCTGTCAGGGGCACCACGTGCCTGCCGGGGACACTTCAGGCTTGTCAGGGGCGTTACAGTCCTGTCAGGGCCCAGGGGCACCAGGCCCGTGGTGTCCCTGCTAGGCCTGTGGTGCCCCTGGCGGTCCTGTGGTGCCCCTGTCAGGACTGTGATAACCCTGATAGGCCGGTGGTGCCCCTGGCAGGTCTTTGGGCCCCCGGGCCTCAAGGGGGGGCCATGACCCATGTGACCCCCCCCCCTTGGATCCGCCACTGGATTTTAGAAAATAATTTGACAATAATCTTTTACACTTTTGCTTTACAATCATTTTTTAATGCACATAAATGCATGAATGATCCGAGAATAGGCATATCTTTGAAGTATTATGATTTTCCACAAGCAACTTTTTCCAGAAACTTGAACTACTCACAGCTGACGAACGCATCCAATAATCTGGATGTCTTAGGATTAGTTCGTCATTTTTTTTCCCATGGAAATACGATACAGTTTTAGCTAGGGGAGAACGGGGTTAATTGTAACATTTTTTGCATTTTATCATCTGGTGCAAACACGTTTGCAGTTATAAAACTCTTTCTTTTATTTTCAGAAACTATGATGTTTTGTCTTTAAAATGTTGTTAAAACATTTCGGAAATAACTTATTTTTTGGGTCAAAATTGTTGTCCGAAAAAGTCAATTCATCTGTTACAATTCACCCCAGATACGGGGTCAAAAGTAACACCACCCGGGGACAATTGTAACATACTAATTTACAGGCTACAGCAACACAATTTTTCCCAAAACTTTGATTTAACAAAATAATTGAACACTTGTTCATCTTGCCAGACTTGGTAGAGATGGTTCTTCTCATGAAAAAAGGCTTAAAACCTCGCACTTATACAGGGGTTAGATGTACCTCCTCTCCCTCGGTTTTTCGCAAATAAATCGCGTAAAAAGCTGCCAATTACGACAAAACTTACAGTTCTCTTAATTCTAGCAATGTTTCATCTCCCTTGAAAATTTGACGACTTTGACATAATGGCCACTGACCTATAACCTGTTACATTTGACCCCTGCAAAAATGTTACAATTGTCCCCGTCGCGCCTTGACATATTTTAGACGAAACTGGCGCATAAAGATGTTGCATGTACAGTGTACACTGCATTTAATGCTTTCAATTTATGGACAACAAGCCTGTCCACGCTTACACAAAGTCTGAAGTCGATATCTTTTCAATGGCGGGAATGAGCTAATCAAATATAACGGTATAAAAATTTACAAAATGCACTCAAAAACACATTACTGTGCACAGCCATCGACATACCCGGCACTTTCGCTTCAAACTCCGTTGGGAAAGGCAGTATAGAATCACGCATTTTCGGTCTTAGCATCAGCTCATTCTATTGGTAAGTTTATGAATTGTTAACACTGTTACAATTGCCCCGTGTTACATTTGACCCCGCTCTCCCCTACTTTACCTATTTATTAGGGTACTTTTGCCAATGAATTTTCAAATCAATAACAACAGTTAATCTCATTATCAACCATACTCGGGAAGAATTTTCTTCGTATAAGCGCGAACACATCCGCACTTTCATGAAAAGTAACGCCTGTAGATGTCAGGACTGCTGCTTTATGTTTCGCAAGGTGGCGCAGCGCGCAGGGTAGCGAGGCTGAGGTCTCCAGACTCTCCACCACGATTTAGCTTGGAAATGGCATGGGGAAGGTCTCATCCAAAAAAAACGGACGCCCTTTTACACAGCTGCAGGGGTGAAAAAATGTCTCAGGCTGTCACCGACGGAAGTTCCAGCTGACTCACGCCTAATTTTGACATTTGAGCAGTAGTAATTGTGACTAGCGCTACGCATTGGTATAACATCGTAAGTACCTATATCCCAGCCAGCAATTCGTCCGGGATGCGGTTGGGGACGGTCGGGATAGGCTCCGGATGTCCCGACTTGTCCCTACCGGGTTGGGTAGGCTTGGGTTGTCCCAATCGATACCGGACCTCGATGGCCGGCGGTAGGGGCGACTCGGGATTTCCGGACCGCATGCTTAATCGGTTGGGACGCGGTACGGATGGCCCAATCGAATCCCATGTTTAGACAGGCTTGTGATTTACGTTGTTATCCCAACCGATCTGAGAAGGCGCTTCGGGCACCATATCCGGTGGCCCAGAAAGCCTGGAAAAGCAATCAGATGGGCCGCGTGCAGGCAGACGCGTCCTCTGAGCGCAACGGCCAGTCTAGCTGCCGCGTTGGTCAAGTGTCGATCCCTCCTTTGAGCTGCTGCCTCAGGATATTGCTTTTGAACTGGCTCTAGCAAGCGGTCGGTTCAACTGTTGTCGTTGCATGGAAATCAGTCCGTCTTTGAGAACAGTGTGAGTATAGTGCACACTTAATCCGTGATGTAGGGAGCGGGAAAGCTATGGTAATAGAAATTGTTATGTTCATTGTGGTTGTACGGCATGTGAATTACACTCGTGCTGTCGCATGTTTGATCAGTTATCATGGACAGAAGATGTTTGGTCTCATTGTCAAGTGTCGTTAATGGTTGCATTGTAGGTTTGAAACCTGAATTACCAGGCATACCATGTGAAATGTCAGATGTGGGTTATTTCTTAGTGATTTTTAGTGTGTCCCAGACTTTGATTAATAACCTCTTGGTCATTTTCAGATGCTCTCTTCGCACAGTGGTGAACCGCCCGACCAGATGCCAGCCGTCTAGTTTCGCGGTGGCTCTCTGAAGCTCGTGACGGCAGACGGACACACTGTCCGCAGAGGAGCCGACACGAACAAGGCGCAGGCCTGCTATAATGACTGTGAACACCGGAAGTG